ATAAGGATAAATAACCAAAACTATAATCAGTTGTGAAGTGGGTTTGGCCCCGCTGGAACTGTTCTATAAGAAACTCCATAAACTGGGTCGTCGATCTCATCTTTGCTTGATCCTTCAGAAGCTTTTGCAGGGAAATGCCATGAAAGCTGAGTAAACACTTCTGCCTTAGCTCTTTGCTTATTTTGATCACCTATTTTTACATGGAGGTGGCGGCAACTCGAGAGCTGGCTAATAGCAAGGATGATGGTCATCAAGAGAATAAATGAGAGTCTAGGATTTGGATTAATCCTCATGGTTTTGATGAAGAGAATGTAACAGAAGAGGCGATATAAATATATCAGAGAAGAGGCAGCAGCTAGTTGAAATATTGGAGCTTATGTACAAAATAGTTAGAGAAAGGGATTTGTGAAGTCTTTTATTTTGGGAACAAGCAACCTGTGGTGAGGATACAGCCAAATCTATATATCTACTCATCCACTTTCAAATTCCGGAAATGCCCTTTTATTTTGGGAACATCAGATTGAGTCGGTGTCATCAATAAAGAAACAATAAAACGTTCTCTTTTAGTTTTCTTTTTTCTTTTTCTTTTTTGAACACACACACACGCGTAATAAAATAACACGTGAAGAGAAAATCCATGTACGAGTTATTGTCCTACCTCAACAAGGAACAGTGCGCTCTTTAAAAGTCATTCAAATTCTACATATCTAGAAACATGTTTTGTCCTTGACTCCTTTTGTAGCCATAGGTTAGATGGAGTAGGAGATCATAGAGGTTAGTTTGGTCCTTTGAAACCCACTTGAGTGCTACTTTGAAACATGGTTTAGGCGAGGAGCGTTGACATTGCATGAGTTGGATCTCTCATGTTATTGTGTTCTGATCATAGTTAGGCCGCGTTTGTATTTCATTATTGGCGAAGACTCGAGGCTCTGGAGATACTCGTGCCACATGGCCACCGTGACAAGTGGCTCACACGTTCTCTGTACTCTGATGCTTAGCTTCACCACATGTTCTTGCTTCCAAGTTATTGGTACGAATCCTAAAAGATGTCCACCGCTTATCTAGGATTTTCCGGTTGGCCGGATATTGCAACCTTTTTAATATATGCTGGGATCCGGTGGCGCCTCCCCCCTCCCTTCTATATATGCCTTTTCGCTTCCTTTTGTCATTCGTTGATTTTTCCAACCAAGTTTTGCGATCCCGATTTTTTTCCAGCTAGATAATCATTTCATATATATTAGCTCTTGACAGTACAAACTATCGATAGAATAAATTCAATTAATCATGATGATAAGCCAATGGTGGTAGACTCACGGTGACAACATAAATTGAGGAAATGTGCAGAGGAACGAAGCTCTCTGGTGCTGTTTTGTGGCAGAAGATGATGGTAGCGATTAGCTAGTCGACAACGATGAGGAGGGCATGACATCTTTGGCGTTGAATCATGGGAAA